CGAATAGTCGAATAAGTAGGCCCTACCTAACTTCAGCTCAAGTAGATCAGGTACACTTGGACCGACTGCCTTTTATACGAGTCCTATTTTGAAACTAATTTCCAGAACACGTTAGTACTGAGTACCACTTTAGCCATGTGCAGGATTTTCTGTCCGGTGTAAATTTTTAACCGTTCTTACTGGACAATATGCAGCCAACTTATTTTCCTCATTGTGGCATAAGCAATACTGGTGAAAGGGGCGTAGATATCTACTCGTATGTCAGTCGATTGTGTGGTATAGTAAAATGTCGTTAAGTATTGACATATGTAGTAGGCATATTGTAAGATAAGATAGTAAGTGGATAGTTGGCATTTAAAATTAATGTTTACCGACCCTCTAAATCCAAAATTAATTGTCAGGTGCAGTGAAAGCACCATTTGGTGAATCAGTGTGCACGTCTGTCAAGTATTTACGGTGTACATGTACTGTACATTAGCTGATTTTAACACCACTATTATGAAGCAAACATCTGGGACCAACATGCTGCTATAAATACTTTGATTGTCGCTTCGCTGCAAACTCACTAATAATTAATAAAGTTCCTCATTAAATGATAAATGATTATTGTTGAACAATTAAATGTTCAAGAAAAACAAATCAACTTATAGGTACCGTTAGTATTGGTAGTAGTAAAACGATTACTTCTATTAAAACATAATATTATGGTTTTAGAGATTAAATTTAAATAAAACAACTCATTTTATAATCCTAAGTTTAGGTTCAAGTAATTTATTTATTTATAACAATAGTAAAAAAAAAAAACAACCATTATTTTATATTTCAGTCAAACTGTAGAATTTATAATTGTGTATTGTTCTTTGGTCAACAGTCCATCTCTGATTTTTTCAAACTTCTGTTTTGGTGGTTATTTTTGCAATAACTTTAATAAACTACATTGACGTTAAAACATTAAAAAATTTACCAGGAACTATTCATGTTTAAAAATTAAAATCACCATATAAGTATAACATAAGAAATGTTATTATTTTCATTGAGTATGTAATATATTATTCATTTTTGTTTAATTTTGTTTTAGCTGGTAGTGCTGTTGATGATTTTACTGCTCAACTTGAACCTTTGTTTTAAGCTGGTGATATCATTATCGATGGCGGAAATTCTGAGTACCAGGATAAACAACGCCGAACTAAAGCACTCTCCAAAAAATGCTTGTTGTTTGTTGGTTCTGGGGGCCAATTCTTGAAATAGTGATAAACTTTGTCGCATGCGATAAAAATGTTATCTCATGAAAATAAATAATCGGTATTCTTGAAAAAAGGTATGCATTTAGTCGAACGAAAAACATTCGACTATTAGTCGAGTGGTTAAGAACCAGTGACAAAATTATATCGAAGACTATGAAATATTTATGATAAAAGATAATAGATAATACTTGTAGGTTTTATACTTTTATGTGTTTTTTACTTTGCAGTCTGTATGATAATAGTCTGTATATAGTCACATGATTTCAAGAATTGGCCCCTAGGTGTATCTGGCGGTGAAGAGGGAGAGCTTGCTTTTGGAGTCCATCATTGATGCCTGGAGGAATTCCAAAAGCTTGGATATTTTAAAAAAGAAAAAGGATATTTTCCAAGTGAGTTGTCCTTAATATGAATATTGAGTTTTTATATTTTCCCTGTAACTAGCAGTCATATGTATACCATGGACATACACAACAAGTAGTCTTGGAATTTTGTAATTATTAATGTATTATTTTACTTAAGTACCAACTTTTATTTAATACTGGTATACCTATAATCTATATTCTATAACTAAATAATTTTATTGTAGAAAATATATTATTTTTAAATAATTATACCTTTGCAACTGTGCTTTGTTGTACATAATATTTCGTCATTTAAATTTCTATTACCTTAATATACATTTTAAGAAGCAAGTCTTAGTTGATCTGTATACAAATCCGGTTCAAATTCATATCTTTGTCGACCTAGCCTTGATTTTATAAATATTTCAATTAACCCTATAAAAAAATATAGGTATTTACAAGTTTATTCATGTCATGCCGACAGTTAAAAATAGTTTTGTTTCTTGTTCTAACAAATTTTACAGGGCTAGTTGGGTGTGTCATTTGATTATATTTTCATACTGCCTCAAGGCAACTGCCTACCAGATATATTATGATATAATAATTCCATACCTACCAAATTTATATTAAAATACAACTATGAATGTAATTACTTTCACTTAGATCAAGATTTTATTTCAAACAATATTAAGAATATAGTATGTAAACATTATAGGTACATAGTTAATTTAAATATTATGTTACTTTTATGACTGTTTACCTATTTCAATAATATTGTATTCCTATTTTGTATTCAAAAATATCTAATTTACAGAGTATTGCTGCTAAAGCTGATGGTGAACCTTGTTGTGATTGGGTTGGCGAGGATGGTGCTTGCCATTTTGTGAAAATGGTTCACAACAGTATTGAATATGGAGACATGTAACTTATCTGTGAAGCATATCATTTGATGAAATCTGCTTTAAAAGTGGACAAAAAAGAGATGGGATTGGCCTTTGAAGAATGGAACAAGGTCAAATTAGACTCATTTTTAATAGAAATCACAAGAAACATATTGCAATTCAAAGACTGGCGTTCCAGTTACACTTATTGGAGAATTTGTATTTGCACGTTGTCTGTCTTCATTAATTGACGAGAGAGCAAATGCTAGTAAAGTCCTCCTAGGACCAACCGAAATTTTTAACGGAGATAAACAAGGCTTCTTAAAAGACATTCGAAAGGTAACTTAATTTTAAATTCATTTAAAATCAGTTACGAGTTGAATTTTCTCATTTTCATGTAACCAGTAGCTTGTATGTTCTCGTTGTAAACAAAAGAGTAGTAAAATACTAAATAAAAAGAAAGAGATTTTTGTTGATAGCGTAACCTAACCTAACCGTACCTAAACTGTATGATTGGAAGTATTCACAATACCATATCTTACTCTTAATCATTATTCATTATAAAGTTGGAAACACCCCAGAACTCTGTACACATTCAGCATGTGCATAGTTATTCACATCTACACAACATAAGATATTTATTTTCTCATAGTAACCAATTAGCATATAGAAGGTGTATGCATGATGTTTTCTCGTTGTGTCGATATCTCATTCTAACCATATTCGGTGTAAAGGTATATTTTATGTACCATCTAGCATTTTGCTCTTTTTAATTAGCATCTCGTTATAACAATAACAGATACTCGTTGTGATTTTTAATGTTTTTAAATTATTTAAATCATTGAATGTTTATATGTTGATGTATTATATAATTTTAGATTCTGAGTGAAACGATGATTGTGTTGATTTTACAATGATTTGTGTTTTTTTTTTGTGTCTGTCATCACCCTTTAGGACAGTAAAAATGCATGGGTTTTCTTCAACAGTATCTTTTCTGATAGGAAAGTGAATATAAATGATACTTTGTGGGGGTCAAAAGCAAACATTTTCTAGTAGTTTTCAAAATCGCCGTGAAAAACAAAAGAAAAATTAAGGAAAAACGGGAATTTGTACGCAAAATCTGTTTTCGAAAAATTAATTTTGGTTTTTGTGTGCAACTCTTAAAAAAATGACTGTATTTACATGAAATTTTGATTGAATGTTTATATTAGCATTTTCTATACACCATAACATTTTCCAAATATTTTGACTTATTTTGAGCTGTTTACGAAAATTTTAAATTTTAATTTATTTTAGTATTTTTTTCTATAAATATCAAAAAAATTTTATTTGTTGGTTAAAAAAGATTGAAAATTTAATAGAAGGCTAATAGTATATTGTTTCAAAGGCAGATGAAAAAAATTAAAAATCCATAGTCACAATTTTTTTTTATAAGCATTTAATAAAATCCAAAAATTGACAAAATATGGATAAATCACTAAAATTTAAAAAAATTATTTCGAGTTAAGAATTCATAAAAATTTTTATTTTTAAATGTAAGATATGGAAATGTAATACGAGATTCCTTATAAGTTTGTCTACTTTTATCAAAAATTCAAAAAGAAAAAATGTCAATAAGAAAATCAAATTAAATTTTTATGAGCGTTTGAAGTTCATAATTTTACAATATTAGGTATTCACTCAATTTATCATCTAGCGGTTTTCTTATTTTATTGTTATTGAAAAACGAATAACTGTAGATACATGAACATTTTACTGAATATTTATATTTCCATTTTCTATACCCCAAAAAAATTTGAAAATATTAAGACTTTTTGAGCTGTTTACGGGCATTTTCAGTTTTCAATTTTTTTAGTTTTTTTTTGTATAAATATCAATACAATTTTATTTGTTGTGTAAAAAAGCTTGAACATTTGATTCAAAGCACCTGATATATTGTTAAAATAAGAGTTGAAAAATATTAAAAATACATAACCACAATTTTTTTTTTATAAGCATTTAAAGTTCAAATTTTGTAGTTTACAATTTATAATGTTCAACTTTTATAGCTAATTATTGAAAAATTGAAACAAGGGTTCTCGTTAATAGGTAAATATATAAATTACTTTCTTCATAATAATATCATCAAATATACTTCGTACTATCAATAATATCATAGGTTGACTGACCGTATTCGCTCAGAATCGTTTTTCTTATACAATGATTTTATATCATTGAATTCAAATTTAACACCATCCATTACAGTGACCCACTTGTAACCAATTGTACAGCAGAGCGACTTATTACATATGTTTTTGTTACAATTTAATATTAATATTTTATTTTAAGGCACTGTACGCATCTAAAACTGTTTACTATCCTCAAGGATTCATGTTGATGCGAGAAGCTGCAAAAATACACGGCTGGAACTCAAATTATGGAGGAATTGCACTCATGTGGCGTGGAGGATGTATTATTAGAAGGTTGTATTAAATATTTAATTTTAGCTACAGAAGAAATTATTTAACGCTAAAATGTGATTCTAGTGCATTATTATGAAAGATCAAACAAACTCGTTTGAACTTGATTCAAATCTTAAGAATTTGTTACTTGATCCATTCTTTAAAGAGGCCGTACACAATAGTAAAGTAGCTTGGCGCAAGGTGGTTACTTCAAGTGCCATGCTAGGAATCCCCTCTCCACCATTCAGTACGGTTCATGCCTTTTATGACAGTTATAGAAGTGCTAGACTTCCAGCCAATTTACTACCGGTAAAATACATACTAAACTCATATTAAATATGAATAAACTAAATTTTAGTGTTTGACATTTTGTTTATCTGTAAAGTTTTTTATTATGCTAGGCTCAACGTGACTATTTTGGTTCACATACATATGAGCTATTAACAGCTCCCGGAAAATATATTCACACAAACTGGACTGGTACTGCTGGTGATGTTTCAGCCAGCACATACAAAGCTTAAGTGTGTAACAAGCACTGATTGGCTGTAAATTGTTTAATTTTTGGGACCAAACATACAAAATTGGTTTATATATTCTCACCGATTGCTTGTTAATACCAATTATGTTTTTGTATTTAAATAAAATGTCTTTTCATCTACTTAAAATGTATTATTTTTAAACTTAAAAAAATATTTGTTCACTTCTGTATTGTAAGACAATATTTGTTGTTACTCCCCTTTTTAAACTTTTATATTTAAATAGTGTACTTTTATTGTTAAAAATGTATTGTTTGTCAAAAACCCTTTTTTGCTAATGAGAGTATAATATATTTTTTTATTAAAAGTGGTGAATTTCATAATGTTTAATTTTTTAATCACATTAATTGTTTTGGTGTATACAAAAAAGTGGAGAGGAGATGTTGAGTGTCTAGTTATCAATTATTGTACTGCTTTAAGTGAACTTTAGTTTAGGAGTACTATTTTTCATCACCAACTTGGTTGGATGTACTTTGGGAAAAAACTTACTTATTAAAGTTACGGATACTGTATGTAAAGCTTTAATAATATCTTACTTATAAACAAAATATAAGTAATTATTCCATAATATCATAAATAATGAAATACTACATTCAATAGATTGTCCTCATTCATAAAGTATGGAACTTATATGTATTTAATTATATAATATTAGCTATATATTATGTATTTTATAGGCAGTGTTAGTAAAATTATGATTTAACTGAGATTAAACTTTATAAGGATATACTATAATCATAAATTATCTCTAATTTAAAATTTATAAATTTCAAAAAATATAATATACCTATTTATAAACATCATCTCAAATTTTAATCCATTAGTACTTACAAATTATATAAATGTATATTTATTAAGATTTATCAATTTCAATTATAGATTTAAGTACTAAGTATGTAATATTTATAAACTTTGACCATCAATTTATGTTAATCATAGATTATTTTTTGCCTAACACCGTATGTTTGGTATAGTTCAGCTGCTTTAATTAAGTCACTTTTGTAGTTAAGTGTAAGTAATAGGCAACATTAGCTAACTAATTAATTAATATTATATAATAGATATATTAAATTAGCATGAAAAATTAATAAAAAAGTTTCTAATTTTTGTGTATAATATATTATTATATTATGATAAGGTTAAGATCACAAATGTAGCCAACTTGATAACCTGATGTGTTATCCAAAGTTCCTATAAAATGGAAATTATTATTAATTGAATTTCTAATAAAACTATGAAATACTTAAATAATGTACTGATAATATTTAATTTTTAGATTCTAATAATTTTTTTTATGTAGGTAAGGTAGATACTAACATAGTTATTTTATATTTTAGATTTAAAATTATTTATATAAAGTTATTTATATTATATTATTATAGTGGGCATATAGACATTCATGTTTTATTTAATATATAAACATGGTACATTGGTACCTACTTTGTTAAAATATGTGAGACATCTAAATTAAACTAGTAACCTTAAAATCACGATGCTTTGGTTCATCTGTGACGTGTAAACTTACTAAGAAAAGCCAAAAACGCATTTTGTTACTTTTAATATTTCAGCGTATTCATCAAAAATCAAATTTTAAGTTAAGAACATAACATTACCTGCGTCCCTACATTAGCTATTTTGTGATATTTTAATTTTTATATAAGTTATGTATTGAGTAGAGAGCGGTTTTATATGCAATTGCCTATTTTTAATTTTCAAATTTTTTGGATTTTTGTCAATAATCTTAACAAATTCTAATAGTTTGAAACTAATAGCTATGATTTTTTTTGCCATAGGTACCTATTTAATGATAATTGCATATTTCTACACATTTTGACGAAATTCAAAATTAATTACATATTGTAGCGAACATTTTAGAAAAAATGTATAAAATTATATTTTGTCAAGCATTCAATTTAATAATACATTTTGTTGGCACTCAGTAATTGTTCATTTTAATAACATTAAATTATAAATTATAAAATTTTTTTGTTTATTACATATACTAATAATATTATAATTATAAGTTATTTAATTTGTTTTAAATTATTTTTGAGTCATACTTTTATAAACTATTAAATACTGAATTATTTACCACACGCCTATGGCCATTACACAATTAAATTTTTTTTTTTGCAAATTAGGTAGTTGCATATTTTCAAGATTATGGCATATTTTGATACTTTTTCGTGAATAACAATTATAATATCCTAAAAATCTGAGAGACATGTAATGTTCTTAGCTTAATGTTTGATAATAATATGTGAATTCACTATAATATTAAGAGTACCTAACAACATACAGGGTCGCTAAACATAAATTTGCTATGTTGTGCTGGGTCAGAGGGATAAAACAAATTATAGTGAGCTGACATCCACTAAATAACTGCATATGGGGCTATGGTTGAACGTTGAAATGAGACAAAATGTTTGTTGCTTTTCTTAGATAGTTCACACTGTATCGTATCGTGATTTTGTGGTTATTAGTTTCATTTATAGCTGTCACATTTATTGAAGAATGCGTTTAATCGTAATATTGTAACACTGTTAATTATATGCAATTATATCTTATGGTATTATTTTTAATTCAAAGATGTGCAAAATTGTTTTTGTTTTCATCAATTAATTTATATACCTACCTAGATATAATAGGTATAATTAATTCATTAAAATGATTTACTATACTCCAATTACATAGCTATATATAGGTACTATAAAAATAACTATAAATTAACTAATATATATCCTAAATAATTATATGGTACCTATGACTGCAGCATTCAGTATAGTAAGCTTTTAATTTGTACTTATTTCATCATATTCATAAGTACATTATAAAAAAAATCTAACATTTTAAAAACTTTGTTCAACATTTCTATTGACATATTTAATAAAATAAATAAAGAACTGCCTGATATCTGGTAGGTATCTACGAAGAACATACACTTATCAGTAAATATAAAATATTTTTAATTCTATATAGTTAAAGCGACATGATACGCTGCCTGATCAGCTTGATGTGTGAGTTTTAACCCACATGTACTTCTTTAAAGTTAAGCAAAATGTTGAAAAATGATAAAATGTATATTATATTTTACTATTTTAGTGATTTATAACTTCGCGTTCTTTATGAATTAATGACCATACGTCGTTACTGGTGAGGAGAACCGATAGTTAGCTTAACCATTATAGGCATGTAAACAAATTGTAGGTCTTAGAATTAATAACTAATGAGTATAATGACTAATTAATAATTATTATGAAATAATATTGAACTCTACTCTCTAGCTATATTAGAAAAACCCTTATGGTGTTTATATAATATGTCTATACAAAATTAAATTAAGTAAAATTCAAAATATTATGCAAAATAAAAAAAAATTGTAAGCTAGGTATTTTATGTATTAATTATTTTTGTACAAACGCGAAGATCAAGAATAGGTACTAACCTACATTCAAATAAAATCGTTTTCGTGACGTTTAATTAAAATTGGTACATTTTATTGTCTATGGACATTATCATTGTAAATTCAATACATTCCAGCTACTCTCAGAATCAAAAAAAATATTTGTAAAAGTATTTGAAAATATCGACCTATGAATACTTTTTTTAAGTATTTGTATTTGTTTTCAAATACTTTTTTTGATGAGTATTAAAATAAATATTTTAAATACTTTTCAAAATAAGTAAATGTATCTGTACTTGAATACTTTTAAAAAGTACCTTTTACAAGACTGATTTTGGGTTAGTACACGAGTGCTGGTAGCTCGACGTCTGCACAGTTTAACAATACACATACGACATACAAATTGGGACGACTTCGCGTCATCTAAAAATACATGTCAAAACCTCCACTAGGATTAAATAACTTAACTGAAAATTTAAAATATCATTAAAAAAATAACGATTAGAAAACAGAAAATGTCCTTATGTTTATGTTTAATAAAAGATCAATTCACTCTATTATTAAAGCTCAATAGGTTCAACATATTCTATCTATTGAACACAAATTACTATATTTTGCTATGTGTTTGTTAGGTTTGCAACGACAACCTAAAAATGTTATTCACATTAATAAAAAAAAAAATCTAAAAATAATGGAAACTGATAATGTCCATAAACAGTTCAAAAAAAAAACAAAATATTTTGAAAATTTTAACATGTATAGAAAAGGCTAATATAAACAACCAGTAAAAATGCCATGTATCTACAGTGATTTATTTTGGAGTTACCTTGAAAACCAAAATCAGTTTTGTCTAAAATATATTTTCAACTACACTTAGTAATTATTACATTTTACATTTAATAAATGTTGTCAAAATACAAATTCTAATTGCTTATTTAAAAAAACTGTGGATAAGGATTTTTAATATTTTAAACAGCAATATATCAGTACCCTTGCATTAAATTTTCAAGCTTTTTGGAAAAACAAATAAAATTTTATTGATAATTATAAAAAAAAAAATATGAAACAAAAAGTGATTCCATAATACAGTAAACCTTATAATATGGAACATTTTCTCGCTCCGTATGTCCTTAACATTCCAGTGTTGAGATCATGATATAAGATATAACCTATTTATCAAGTTTAGAAAACAAGATATTGATGCAGATACATATACAGTGAGTATTGAGGGTTCAGACTTTCTTGAAATATTTTCTAAAATTATTTTTTTGACACGACTATAATATAATAATAATATAATTTTTAAATGTTTATCTTTTTATTTATTTTTTCAAAAAGATAAGGGGCCTGTGATATCTTATATCTAACTTAATTACAATATCTATAATAAATTAATTTATTCTATAGAACAGAACATTTCTACACAATAAATACAAATCTAGAAAAAAAATCCCCATGGCTATACCTAACTGTTTGTTTTATACAGCTGCCAAAAATAATTAATAATAATAACAAAAAAGGTGGGTAAGTAAGTGGATGTCGCTCTGCTGTAAAGTAATTATTTTTTGTTTTTGATAAGGAT